TACCCCCCCCCCCTTACAGTATATCATTGATTGTGGGGTTTACCCCTTTTGCTGTAAACCACTTCATGTGTGATAAAAATATTGGAAGCAGCACCAATGATGTGAATGAGCTTTCGAAAGTCTACGACAACTGCATCAAAATCGATTTTGTCTGCCGTTCCCAACCAATATTTCTATCGTGGCTTTGCATCGTAAAATACATGCTTCATGTCACATGTCTGATTAAACAACTGAAGCATTTCTTCGGGGATCGAGTATCAATGATGCCGTATCGCCTTCCCTCGGTAATCTAGTGCAGCCTCCTGGATGTTCGCCCTGGTCATTGCCCACTCCTTTAGTTGTGACAAAATCTGTGCTCGTTTTCGTTTATCTGGTTCGGTGGTATTGATTCGAATAATGGGGATGTTTTAGTGTGATGTGAAAAAACACCTTGTTTCATTTACCGGGTTTGTCATTGTGCCTCAGAGTTACAAGTGTGCTGTTCTGTTACTCTCCAAGCTGGTCAGTCGGCTCGCAAGTGCTCCATCTCCAATCGAGCTACTTTGATATCTGTTGGCCCCTTGCAAGCAGTCTTTTGTGTCGGCTCTATGCGGTCACTAACATTATATATATATATATATATTACCGGTTTGAGTTCAAACTGTGCTAGACGAGTTATGGGCTTTTTATAAAATAAAAAAGTTCATTACTTGCTTTTGCGCATGATAATACCAGGTCGAAGTAGGTGAATTTTCTTGGGTAATTCACAACCGGAATGTTGGGTTATCCAAAGTTTGACCGGCAAAGCAGCTGCGCGATGTGTAAAGGCCGCAAGCTATGATGGAGGTGTTGACCGATGTCTGATTCATCGGATCTTACACCGTTTGGATGAGATCTAAAGCCCAAGATGCTCGTCACAGCTCGATACCCATTCAATCGGGTGATCACAACCATAATCAGGAAGCCGAATGTGTGGGGGCTTCGTACGGCTCTTCTTGATTTGTTTGGAATTAGGGATTTTATCTAAATCCCGTATGTGAATTTCCAGTTGTTCACCAACCCAGCTCTAGACTCGGATTTGGGATTTTAGCCGCCTCACATCGTGGGGGACACCTCAACCACTTGATAACCGTGAATAGAGCTGTATCAGTCGAATCTGTATGAAGCGCTTGACTGTATGGAAGCATTTTGCGCGAGAGATATTATATGTATATGTATTTATCACCTTGGTACCAACGCAACAACAAGAATAACACGATGGGGGGGGATACAAAGCAGAGTGAAAGAGGGTCAGACAGTTAAGGTGGATAACCTTTTTTCACCGTACACTTTTGACATCTTTTTTTGTTTTAGTTTATAGTTTTTTTTATGAGAAACGGGACTTCACCAGTCAGACCGTGCAGCATAGGCGCCACTGACTTCTATTCTGGGCCATACCTCTCTAACCAACGGCTATCCCCATACCTTGGGCCACAACCTGGAAGATGGGCTGTACCAACCGAAGCCAAAGATGAAGCCATCCCCTTCATGCTTCTGCACCATGTCATGGTCTGACCGCCTAGGCCCTTATTCCAGTCTTACTAAGCCAGCAGAACGCAGAGCATTCTTGATAAGCGACCAGCACCGGTAATGTCATTGGGTGGGGTTAGTTCTAGCTTTTCAGCTAGCGCTTTTTGAAAGTCAGTTAGAAGAGCTCGTTCGAACAGGTTATCACAATCTAGCCATCATTTTGTCGTGCGTTTAGAACATCCACTGAAGCACTCGGACAGCTCAGCGCAAACGAATGCGTGATCGGATTCAATGGGATTGCTCCAGTACGATCGGTAGTCTTGTATGCAGCCCCGCCATTTGTGACTTATAACAATGTGGTCCATTTGCCTTCGTCGCTGGCTGGGGGGGGGGGGGGCAGACGCCAAATGGCGTATCGGCAGTTGGAACATTTGAAGTTCGTACTGGCGAGGAATAGGCGGAATAGGTCGGAACATAGAACCAACAGTCGTTCCGCGTTTTCCGAAAGACAGGGATTCAGTCCAAAAGGACTCCCCAGGTGCGCCTCATTCGAAGCTAACCAACCTCCTCTAACATTCGTATCTCCAGCTAAAATCGCGATATCAGCCCGGTCGCTGTACGCAAGTGGTCGTGTATTTTTTGGTAAAATTCATCTTTGAATGCACCTGGGGAAGCAGTTCTTTCGGGCGTACGCCGACCCGACAAACAAGTTTCGTCTATTAGGGCGATGGCTATTGACTTAACACGAACCTCTGAATCTCACTGCGGAGAATCTACTGCTGATTGGCATCCGCTGCAGGTGTGCGGCTTCAGCTCTCACTGAGAGCCAAGCCAACGCTAGCAAAACCGGAAGCTGCAGCCTCAGGTTTCCCAGAGAGGCGTAAGTGAAACTTCGCAGATTTGTTTGATTGAGACGTTAAGGGGATAATGCAGCTGAGGTCTCGAGTGCGAGTTTCTTGGGTACAACACTCATCGATGGCTAGGGTCTCAAGTGTACGAGCTAGCCGCGCCTGCTGTCCTATGCGCATCAGAGTAGGCGCAATAAATGTGGCTAGTTTAAATGGGCATCGGGGACGAAGAGGGGCATTAGCTGTTGCAAGATTCGGTGAAACTTGGACAGTAGTCAAAGTAGGACACGAGAAAACAGCGGCACCCGGAGGCCTACTGTTAGCACGATCATTTGAACAACCCTATAAAGATGGGGAGGGGGAAGAGGTGAAATGGGAGAAAGTTGGGAAAGCATGAATGTGTTTGGTGTAGAATGTTTTTCGCTGAGTAATAAAACTGGTGACGGAAGATTGGAAAACTTCATCATTGTATGCGTTGTGAGCTGTTGTACTTCTCGGTCACCCGCTCCAGGATGGATTTTGCGATTTGCGAGGGGAGGGTCACCAGTTACAACCCAAGACACCCATCGTACTGATACTTGTGATTGCCAACATGTGAAAGCGACTGAATTCTAGACAGTCGATGAACAAATTAGCAAATGAAGCGCGGTTTATTGTTCTTGTGGCGATTTTGAGCCCAACGTGTGTTGTGTAGCTGATGCACACAGTTTCTAGTGATCTTGACGAACAAGTTACATTTTTGTGCATCATTCACGTGTCAGTCAGCTATTCAAATTTGACACGTGCCTGGCTGGTGTTACAACGATTGCCGTGTTCTGTGAAATGGGACCGTAATTCCAAATTCTCGTCGCGCTTTTTTTAAGTTAACCAGTAAAGGCAAATGCTTGTCGGAATGGAGAGGGTCACATAAAAATTTAGTGAAAAGATTTGACTCAGTCTTCGAAATTTCAAGTAATGTATTTATGTGTACACTATCGCCAGTGTTTGCTTTCTCATCATATTAAACTCGAATATCCTCGTTTCATTTGTGAATAGGGACGCCTTCTTTACCGAAAACCGATGACACGGATGATCAGGCGAAATCCGGCGCAGATGAAGTCACACCGGCAGTGCCAAATTCAGATTCGCCCAGTCGTTCCCGTCAGCTGGCGTCATCCATCAAGGCGTTTCGTTTAATCCCGCTACGATTATATCGGAGTTCTGCTGATGAATCCACGGATCCATGCCCGTTTGGCTACATTCAGAAACGTATTCAACCTTACACAAATGATGGGAGTCTCATTTCGATTGCGGATGCAATGCGTACTCTTCTCGTTCCGGGGGACGAAGAAAATGTCGACTCAATACTTGCTGGTCAGTGTTGTTTATATCAGGCGGGATGATCATTTGTCGATCATGCATGTGTTTCAGATACCACCTGTGCTCTAGGAAATAGCACACAGTGAGCCACCGTATTTTGTTAGGCTGATCTGCTCGTTAGTTTGCATAAATGAATCCAACACAGCTCCGTATCGCTTCCCGTTCGTGGTAAACGCTATTCGGACTCTGTGTGCTGTGGAATACGCTTAAGACTAATATTATACCTTATTTTCAGGCCGACATTTTCCAGCTTGAAGCGATGCTCATTCATTTCGATTCGCTACTCGTCACATCTGCGTTAAAACTCCTCTACGATCAGTGCTTTTCTGTGTATTAAACAGCTTAATTATCGCTGTTCGCGGCTATCACATCTGTTTGATTGAAGTATTTTTTTTATTATACAAACTTTTGGTGTGATGAACAACAACAACGAGGCGCAAGGGTAGAGTGACCAGCCGCAACCCTAGACACCCACCCCCGACCATACTGAGGCTTTGGAAGGCGGGGATCCGTGGCAGTTCTAATCGAACTACGTTTTGCGCAGTTCTTACAGCGTGCGTTTTCTCTTACGGAACTCAGGTGTAAAGATTTTATTATTGTTTGCTAAATGACAAATTTTCAGCGCAGTTACGGCGTTTCACATCGTATTGCTTCACAT